CACGTAAGTCTCAAGTCTTTGTACTCAAGTCTCAAAACAGAACTGACACGTCCCAAATCAAGACCCAAGTCCTGAACTTTAAGTTTAGAATCTTAAACAAGCCATGACACACTCTTCATTGCTCTTCATGTAATGCCATTTTAACAAAAGAGTAATAATTAATAATAATAAATAATTAATTTACAAAAATCATTAATGTTTTTTTAAAATTTGTGTTTATTTGTTAAAACAAGTTCATTTGAAGTTGTTGCATCTGCATCTGTAAATTACTACCTGCACATTTTGCTTACTGCAATTCATTTTTTTTTTTTGTCACCACCATATATTATTGTTTGCAAATGAAATTATCCTTGGTATCATTTTTTCCTGGGAGGATCTTAGGAATGTTGGGAGTGTCGTCTTGCTGGGAATTAATAGCATTAACGTTAGCTGATTCAGAAAATGAAGGGAAATTAATTATTTCAATTGAAATTAAATCAACAAATTACACTTTTCTAATAACATACTTTTCAATCTGTGGGCTTGGGGAAAGGTATCAAGTATTTTTAATTCAAAAGGCTCAAGTCCACATGAAGTCACGAGTCACTGGTGTCAAAGTCCGAGCCATGTTGCCAGTCTTTTTTGATTTTGACAAGTAGAGTCCAAGTCATGTGACTGGAGTCCTCATCTCTGGTTTACTTAGACCCTACAGGCAGTCTAGCCCCACCAATAGAGGTGTCATTGTTCCTCAACACCAGATTTCAACTAGGGGCTCAGGCAAAATGGAGCTAGACCCCCCATATTTCATTTCTGCCTTGCTGATAGCATTTATCAGCGGTGTCCTGATAAAAACAAAATATGCAACTTAAGCCTGAGCAGGGCTAAGCCGCCGAGGTGGACAGGATTACCTGGAGGCTAGCCGGGACAGGCATCAGATTGTACTGTCATAAAGGGCCATTAGCCTCTTGGCAAACTGTACCTCAAGCCCAAGATGACAGAGCTTTTCAAGAGGGACAGGGGGGAAAATATGAAACTTAAATTCGTCATGACAGACATCTCAGTGAATGAGACCCCCGGAAAAATGGCTTCGTAGCGCAAAACAAACATAAAAAGATCCTTTATTTTTGTGTGCATTTGACACCTATGGGTATTGACTTGTCTGTATTACAAAGTTTGAAATAATCAATATCCACTGTTCTCTACTGGATGTCAGTATTTATACAAAAAGAGAGACTGGATTTCCACACAGCACACAATGGAGTAGACTTACTGACTGGCTGGGATTAAATTTAATACAGGATCTTGACAGACATATCCTGGAAGCATATCACTCTCTCTGCAGATTTCCTAGCAGCAAAGCTTACATGTTTTTTCTTGGATTTGCCTCATTAATTGCTTAGGTAAGTCCCCTTAATCCACGATGATCACTTTCTTGTATGTCTTAGGGCATTTCTTTAATATCCCGTTCCTTTCCTTGTCTTTATACTTCACAGCTTTGACAGCAAAATTAAGCTCAAGCACAACTAAACTTTCTACGGTATGCGCACACTCAGTCTTGAGTGGCACTGTAGGAAGCCTCCATTTTGAGGCAGGGAAAATAACAATGTAAAGTGTAATTGTTGGGAGGGGGGTGTCTAGACAAAGTGTCCACAGGTACAGCAAGTATACGGCTAGACATCACAGCAGACAGCCGGCTGTCTTCCTATATGCTCTGTCACTTTCTCTGACATGTGGAAGAAGAGGTCTTGTCTGTTATCTCGCAGAGGTGATCTGGATTATTTAGTGACACGCACACACACATACACACACACACACACACACACACACTTCTCTTTCAAATCTCCACCCATTTCCATCCATCTACCTCTCACTGTGCACTGCCTCAAGGCCATATCATGAGCAGGCCCTGTGATAAAGAGCTAGGCGGGGGTGATGTGTGCTGGGGGGGGACAGACCGTCAGACTGGCCGGGCAGGCTTCACCTGGAGTCTTCCTCTGTCTACCCTGTCTGTCTCTTTCAGTGTACTTATAGCGGCTGCCGACCTGTCCTTTCCCAGAGGGCTTTGTGAAAGGACAGAAATGTGATGCTGCTACTCAGACATAAGTTGCGGTGGAGTCTGTCTGCGGTAGCCATGTTGTATCTCCCCCTCCCACTCCTCTCCACCTCCTCCTATTTTACCTGAGCAGAGAGACTCCAGGCGCCAGGCGCGGTGTAACTGCAGTCTCAGGTATGCTAGGCGGACGTTGCAGTCAATTCCCAGGGCTTCACCTGCACCTGAGACTGAGTGATGTGGGCACCATAATCAGCTAGGGACAGCGGTGGCCCGGGGTGGGACCAGGGATGGCCATGGCCCCCCTGATACAATTGCTGATCCTCCCCCAGTGCCCCCTGACAAAAATAATTGAAGACTGAAATTACTGTCTTTAGGGCTGTGGCACGCTCTTTTTTTTAAGGTAGTGCTAAGACATTGGTAGCTTGGGAAAGAAGACAACCTAAGGCATCTATTGGTACCAATCATGTCATACTACCTTGTCAGGAAAGGGGCTAAATAAGGCTCCAAATTTAGGCGAGGGAAAAACTGGCATGGTGATTTTCAAAGGGTTCCCTTGAACTAAAAATGGGTGCTATGGGTACCCATACACAACTGTACCAGTATTAGTCTATGCTCATCAGATAACCAGTAATGTTAAAGGGGAACTAAAGGGGAATTTCAATAGTTATTTCCATGGCCTCTACGTTCTATCAATATTTGTGAACATGAGTTGCAGATATTTTGTATATTTTATGTCAAGAAGTTGTTTTTTTAAATTTTAGAAATCAGTCGATTGATCAATTAACCGCAAAAAATAAATGCAGATTAATTGGTGATAAAAAATAATTGTTAGTGCCAGCCTTATAAGCATAAATAAGCATGTAACACTAATTTCTTCTGTCATTACTTCAATTGAAAAGTCATTAGGAATGTTACTAAATTTGTTCTAATTTGTGATCTTCTGTTTTAAATGTTTTTTATGCCTAAAAGCTGCAGTTTTAAGCATGCATGTCTACGTCTAACTGCAATGAGCCTATTTAAACACAGTGGCATTTACTTCCTGCACTTTCTCTCCATGTCTTGTTCCTCTTTCTTCCGAATGTTGTGGCATTGTCATGTGTAAAGGCTTAGGATGATTACAAAATAATTTGAAAATAGAATAAGTACGTAGAGCCTAAGTTGAGGTTTGCACCATCTGTCAACATATGACAGCGGCAGAGCAATTTTCATTGTGGTGCGAGTGGTTTTGTGGTCAATGTGCGCTCTCATTTATCTAAAATACATCCTAAGCTGTGGCTGCCGCTTCATTATTTGAGCAGGCCACATGGGTTACAATGTGCATTTGTTCCTAAATGAAAAATCTTTGCTGAAATTTGACTGACTTGCATGCATATGTTTTGAGGAAAAAGGGACTGCAAGAGGCTTTTGTGGTGGTGTGGGAGAGAGAGTGTGTGTGTATGTGTGTGTCTGGGAGAGAGTGAAACATGCAGGGAGAAATTCAGAGGGGCAGAGAGAAATAGCTTTTCCCAAATATTTGCAAGTAATTTCAAAGCTTTGCTCCACCCTTTCAATGTCAAACCAGCTGCTATTGAAAACCATCCATGCTGAAAACAAGGAAACAACCAAACACGTGCAGTGCAGTAGCTCTAGGCGCTATACACTGATGAAGGTCTGCATCCTTTTTAAGTTGTCCTTATCCAAGAGGTAAAACAAAACGTAAACTTTTTAAGCCAGTGAATACCAAAGAATATTTGCTCCATTTATTTAACTTTGTTTTAAAGTTCACATCAAATCAAATTCATCTGAAAGTCTTTTACGCTTTTTTGCTCCTCACATCTTTAATTAAGGTGTCATGCTGTTAAAGTTTGACAATACAATAATGAAACAACAGTTTGGAGCCAATCCACTGACATAAGTGCATGTTGAATTTATCCAGAATCAGTCTGCACATTGCTATTGATAAAACTCATAATGGATAACAGTGTAAACAGTTTTACCTTTATGAAATTACAAAATTATTTGATTGACAGCATATAACATCCACCTATAAAAATTTCAATGACACCAAAAACATGTGGACTCAGGTACATTTAGCCTAAGTCTTACATATTTTCATGCACATCAAATATTTTATTGTCACATTTACATTATGACAAGTGAGTAAACTGTAGCCCAGGGATTTTTTGTACTTTGAATCATAAATAAGGCACCAGAGTGTATAAAAAATGCACTACATAGAGCTTGTTTTTCAGAGTGTTGTGCTAAGCCTCAAATGTATTTAAAAGTCCCTGCATACATGCAACCGATGTGACTGTGGACTGCTGCGACTGGATTTTCCTCTTGATAAAGATGAGTGAGGGCAGCATATGTTGAAAGGCTGAAAACAGTCAAATCGCAGATTATTAATACTGGTAAATATAATTAATGTCTGTTTATTAACTTGCATTTTGCAGAAGTGGCCCCCAGGCAAAGCAAGGTCAGTGTCCCTACTGTAGCCTGTTGGTGGTCAGTTAGGCTACTGGTCATCCAGAATTATTTTACAGGTGCATTCAGGTAAAACACACATACCTGTAAGTCCTAAATATCAAGTACAGGAACTGTAATTCACACAAGAGTCACACTTTGTCTTTGGAATGCAGCGAGCAAGTCAGAAACCTCAGAATAATTTTATTTTGAAAAATACATCAAAAGCTAGGCTACTTATATCCCAAGCTGATTTGAGAAAATGGGTCATGTATTCATTTCAAGTAAGTTAGACTGCTGTGATGCCCTCCACCACTGTATGAAGCTCACTGTATGCGTGTGTCAGTGCTGTCTGAGTGGTGACTGTGGGATATTTACCGTGGCTGCATGCACATTAATGTAAAACACATGTAGTTTACTTGTAATAAAATGTGCTGCATATAAAGGCTTTACCCTACCTTGCCGTGAGTGGCTGCTGCGCTCTCCTGCGCAGTCAACGCAATCTCTACCCGCTCGAGCAGCTCCAACGTCCCATCCCTGCGTCACACAGCCATTCATTAAACAGCAGCATCACAGCGGCAGCACAGCTAACGCTAACATGTCAGACAAGAAACAGACCGTGGACCTCGGCTTACTGGAGGAGGATGATGAGTTTGAAGAATTCCCAGCCGAGGGTAAATAATGTGAATAATATTTGAAGCCATGTTGCTCTTGTTTTCAGTTTATTTATATCTGTTACTGTTTTTCGCAGCTGGGCCCTGCAGCAGTGACTCAGCTAGCTTAGCCATGTTAGCGTTAGCTAGCAAATAGCTAACTTGCTGCCAATGCGAAACAGCCAGCTGAGTTAGCTAAATTTACCAAATTAGTTGCCTCGTGAAGCTGTATGTCCTTCAATGTCATAGCCATTGTGCCTTCACCACTTAACATTAACGTGTATTTGCCAGCGTGTGTACGTTAGCCATCTTGCTAACGTTAATGCGTGCCGCTACAAGCTACACAGCTTTAGCCGTTGAGGTAAACAGTTAGCTCAAGTGGACGCTCACAAGCAGTAACGTTAGCACCTATAATGTTCTTAACGTTTGTTTTGTCAGAGAGTTGATTGAGGATTGTCCTAGAGTACTTTTGTTTCTAATGCTGGTGATATCCTACTTTATAATTCCTAGATTGGACGGGGCTGGATGAAGAAGAAGACGCTCATGTTTGGGAAGACAACTGGGATGATGACAACGTAGAGGATGATTTCTCAAATCAGCTCAGGTAATTCAATGAACACTCACACATTCACAATGTTCAGGTACACATCTTCATAGGCTGTCAGTGTGTGTAGTGCAACAGGTCAGGTAACCAAGATGCAAAGCCCAGTGGGTTTATCTTCTTAGATAGGGCACCAAGTCACAGGCCAAATCCTCTTGCAAAAATTCAGTACATGAGACAAACAGCTTTATGATTAGTTATTTGACATATACTAACTGAAACGAACAACAACCGGTACCCACAAATAAGTACATCCTTTTGTGACAGGCATGCCTTTCTTCTAGTTTGTTGAACTACAGTAATGAAATGATAATACCTTGATCCTTGAAAGATTTCCAAATTTCACTGTATGATTAGCCACTTTGGTTTTATGTGTTTACTAATATTAGTATAATAATAATAGTATTAATGTAAAACCAAGTGGACTGGTTTGAAATTATTGCTCTTTATATCTTACTTAAATCTGTGTTAACAAGAAATTAAACACACATGAGTAAACAAAATATGCCCACATACAACTGCAGGTCATATGGGATCAAATGTGACAGATGAAATTGGTTTAAACAGATGGACACATTTTGACAAGAGCAGTTACAAGTGATTTCTGTCATTTATCAAACTCATGCCTGTGTGTTTCAAAGTACTTGATATCCAGCATCAAAACTATATTTTATGCATGCCTTTTATACATTTTATATGCAGTGAAATTAAAGGTATACTAATACAGTTTTACCTTTTGGAAGTCAATATAAATTTTGTAAATTTTCTGCTATAAAATAATAATCTGCACAGCAGTCAACATCTTAACACAGCTGTATTTATGATCTGTGGTCATGATTATTTTCCAAAAATAGTGATTGTAGAA